GGTCATTCTGACTTTTGGGAAGAGCCAGAAGTCATATAATGCCGTATCTAGAGAAAAAGGGAGATAAAGACCCACTGATTTTTTTTTATTTGACAGAAATTGCCATAAATATTTATAATAGATTTAGGACATCGAGGCAACCACAAATAGACATTCATGAAAGAGAACTTCCAGAACTGCTTCACAAAGTAGCAGGTGTATTGGCATTAATCTCCATCAAAATACTCTGTCTCTTTAAAAATATTTATCCTATAGTTCTTGCTACTTTCTGGTCCTTGTCCACTAGATCTCACACCATGTGACTTCTGTCCTTCTATCTTTGCATACTTTGTTTTATTTGCTGGAGAGGAAAGTACAAAGCAAGCAAGAAAGGTCACTATCTTTTATAACTGTAAAAAGCCTGAAAATAAGATAATACTTCTAATAACACTTTTGGCTCATCTCCTTATTTGTTTAGTCTTCTGTACAGGAACAACAGGTAGAGTTGCACTTTTCAGTGCAACTGAAACTCAACTTTCCCTACACTTTAATTGGTGGAGTATGATCGTCCTTGGGATGGTTTATGAGCCAGCAAGAGTAGCAATCGTGAAGAGCCAAATGCTATCCTAAATCATTTCCAACAGATTCCTTTTTAGTTCAGTGGTCCAGAGGATTAGATTTTATTCTCAAGAAGCAATGGAATGATTGTGAACTATATATAGTCTCCAAGAAGTACTCAAAAGAGAGGCAAGCCTAAGAATTAAATTGTTGTAGTATATGAATGTAAATTGCCACAATCTTTCAGTTATGAGCTAAACTTGTGTATGTAATTATTTGTTCAGCAAACATACAGTTAAATATTATCTATTATCCCGCCACTGCTTGTCATTAGAAACACTTTATATTATGCTTATTTCAAAGAGAATATTTAGGTTATTATGATTACTTTTCATCTAGTTTAATTCTGAATTACAGCCACACCGGCATTAAAAACTCCATACCTCAGTAATCGGCCAGGGCCAGCACCTGGGTGTCAGCTGCCCAGACCAAACTGTCCAGTGGAAGTCTTAAAGGAACAGGCAAACCCAGCCATGGCAGCAAAACGGAAAAGAACAGAGGCCTTGGAACAAGGAGGATTGCTCAAGAAGCTCAGTTTTTAGTTACAGAGGACACCGGACAGACAGTATTTTACTACTGAAGGAAATAGGCCAAAAGGCAAATAATGGAAAGAATAGTAAATATTAATTAAATGCTGTGGAAGTGAATTTGAAATATTCTACAGGTGTAAAATATGTAAAACTATGGGACATTTTTGTTAAATGTATTTTAAAAAATAGAAATTTAATTCTAGTTTTTCTGAAAAAAAAAACAAAAACAAAAACAAAAAACAAAAATCACACCTATACAAGCTCTTTCACCCCTTCATGGACATGCCATTTAGAGTAAGATAGGCTGTGAAATTTAGGATCATGTGAGAGATAGACATAAGTATCTTGACTAGCACTGGTGGACCCCAAAAAGCTGAGATAATGTTGGTGGCACGTGTCACAAATATCACTCTGGTATCTTTGGGAAGAAGAATATGAAATTTTACCACCTGAAGAACCAGAACTTCTGCCTGTCAGTGCACGGTATGATCAAAAAATAGGGTGAACATTTAAATAAAAAGTTATAAAAGATAATTACCTTTCATGCTTTGAATTTTCCTTTCCATTAAATAAACAGTTAGTTTGCAAATTGCAAACAGAAGCATTTGGCAAAATTTTGTTTTCGTTTTCCAACTCTGCATCGGATAACAATCAGACTGTGGCTATCTTTCCTGCTTCAACATGAGCATGGCCATCTTTTCCAGAAATGTGAAATGAATTAAATTCATGAACTGAGGTACCACTGTAAGTATGCAAAGATAAAGGGACAGACAGACCCATAATCATTACTAGAAACACTTGATAAGCATTTTCAAATGTTTTTTTCTCCCCAGATTCTGATATGCCTTCATGGGCTTTGTGGAAGAGCCAAAAATTGTGCCATTTTTAATGGATCATTCATTCATTCAGAAAATATTTATTGAACACTACTAGGTGCTAGGAACTGTACCAGTCTAGAAACTCAATGAGCAAAATCAGGCATAGCTTCTTCTTGGAGTTTCAATCTGGAGACAGCAAGAGAGGACTCAAACATTGACCAAATACCCACACAGGGAAATCAGTACTATGAAGGACAGGTATTAATAGTAGGAGTGATTTCATCTCAGCTGTGGAAGGGTGGGGCAGTGGGGAGGATCTTCCACACACACAAGAGAGGCTGTGGTTTGAAGGAAGTTGTGAAGGACAAAAGCTGCTTGAGAAGGAGGGGAAGTGGCATAAAATGTAGTTGTGTTTATGGGTAGCTCCTTCTAAAAGTGGCTAGCCACATAAACATTACTGGGTTCTGGGTTGCTTGCCTTTCCTTCTGGAGTTGGAGTTCAGGTTTTTCTCAACTCAAACAATAGAATGAAATGAGCAAACAGCAGTGGTAAAATTTATTTGAAAAAGTAACAGTGGAGAGGGAGTGAGAAACTGGCTCTGCAGCATAAGCTTGGGCCAAGTAAAAGAGGGAAAGGCAAGATAAAAGAACACCCTGGAAAAAGCAGGGCAGGGTATCATGAAGAAAGCCACAATAATGGGCTCCTTGTGGAATCTGCATCCTTATATCTCAAGGAAATCCTAAATCTCAAGGAAATCCTTAAGAGCTTTTACATTGGGTCCTGAGAGATGGTGCTGGGATCCTATGCCTCAAGCTGACTTCAGGTCTAGGCCATCCTATTGAAAACCTGCTTGAGTTCTCCTAAGAAGTCCACATGCAGGGCTTAGGGAACTGTCATCCCTGTTTTGTCTGGAATCCTGAAATTAACAGTGTCTACTTCTCCAGCCAGCTTTGCCATGCCCTAATCTATCTCAGCTGGAGAGGTTGGAAAGAGCCCAACTGTGGAAAGTCTTGTAGAGTACACTGAGTTTTTATAATTTCAAAGTTGAGGGTGAAAAGATTAGAAACCACTGCCTAAACCATTTCTTTAAATGTTGAACTGATAAAGAGTAAACTTTTCTTTTGTACCTTTAGTCGCTTCCTTTTTTTTTCTCCTCAGTTGTAAATTGAAGACGACTCATGACATCAGCATTGGTTAAGTGTTGCATGATTCATACCACTTCCTCCCAAGATTTTTAATTGCTGGCTGAGACTCTTATTCTGCTCTGATGCAATCTTTTTGTGCTAATCCAATTCCACAATTTTGGAACTGAATGATTTCAGATGTCATCTAATCCTACGGTATCTCTACATAAATTTAAGGCATTTTGAACCATATACACAGTTAATGCTTTAAAATGTGAGCTTTTCTTACAACCGAATTAGAATTTGTGTGTGTGGATATATGTGTGTGGTACTGGGGATTGAACTCAGGGCCTCAGCACTGAGCTATGTTCCCAACCCTTTTAATTCTTTGACAGTCTTGCTAAGCTGCCCAGGCCAGCCTCAAATTTGAGATCCTCTGGCCTCAGCCTTGGGAGTAGGTGGGATCATAGGTGTATACCACCATGACCAGCAAATTAGATCTTTTGTTGTATTATCAACTGTTCCTCTTTGCCAGAGCTCCAGGTGTGTCAGACTCCCTGGTAGTTGGGAGAGGAATTTCTTGGAGATCTTTTTTAGGGATCTGAAAAGTCAAAACTTTTTTTTTCTTTTTGAGACATGGACTCCCTATGGCCTTGAACTCATTATATATCCCAGGCTGGCCATACATCACCATGCCTGGCAAACCCATTTTCTTGATACTAGGAGGGTACTTGCTTTTTCATTTTAATCATCTCAAGAAGATGGTGTGGAGTTTTTCTGAGCTATGTGAAAAGGGACATCATTAATATACAGAAGCAGCTAGACAATGCACTTGCCTTCTATTAAGTGTGGTATCACATTTCTTTCACTACATTTTTTGTTTTGAAGTTATTTTCATAAAACACTATTTTGACATTTAATGTACTAGTGTATTTAAAAATATCTAATATTGATACACTAAATACTGACATAAAGTATGGAAATGAAAGTTCTTAATTTCTGAGAGTATAAATGAATCCACTAGAGCTAGGGATTTAGCTCAGTGGTTCCGCAGCCTGCCTTGCAAGCCTAAGGACCAGAGTTCGATCCCTGGAACGGTCCCCCCCCCATAAAAAAAAGGATCCACTGATGGGACGCAATCAGTATTTGAATAAACCTGGATTGTGGTGCCTGCCCTAGCTTCCAGCTTTCCAACCTCCAGCCCTTTTTCTTGTGCGGTGGTTTCCTCTGCCCAGACTAAACTTTTAAAAAATTCTGCCTGTCAAAATTCCTACCCCTCTTTCAAGAGCGTCTGAACTTGAAGTTTGTTCACTCTCATCTGTGACAGAGAACGTGGGGCCTCCCTTGAGCACTTGACCTTTGGTTATCACAGCAGTTGAGACTAGAAAGCAGGCTATGGGATTCCCCGACCAGGGCGCGGCTCCCAACACCAACCCGGCTCAGCCATCTTCCCCTACTAAGAAACAGTGCCTGAGCTTAACTAGGCTGTTCGGGGTAAAAGGGCAATCCGGAACCAGGTCAGAGAAGGAAGCGGTTATAGATAGTTCCAACGCAAAAATGGGTAGGACGCACACCCACCAGAGCTTCCGGGCGCCACCTTTAACCCTGCGTAGGGGCGGAGCCACGCGCCCGCA